CTTGATTCAAATCACTTTTCACATTTTGGCGCGAATAGTAGCGCGTTTTAAGTGGCGCCACTATTCGCGCCAAAATGTGAAAAGTGATTTGAATCAAGAGATACTTTGCTGCCTGTCGATTCACATAATAAGCTCTTCAGAAAAAAAATTTGGACCGATTCTGTTCCCCGTATAAAAAGTCGGTTTTGCGCTAATGAAAGGTGACATTCAATTCGCACTCTCTAAATGCTAGAAGATAGAGCAGCTCGAGAACTAGTAATATGCATAAAAATGCTTTGTATCCCTGTCCTGATAAAGCACTAGAAGCTGTCAGAAAAGAACCTTTTGTATAGTACTTACATGAGTCACCATCGGATAGCAACTTATTACACTCATTACTACACATCAAGATAAATAAAAATAACGTGAAAAATCTTGTAAGTTGGTTTTGTAAGTTCTTACAAATCTCTTATCACACTCTTTTGAGACTCTCACAAAATTCATGGCACCTTCAAACCTTTTCCCATATAAGATTATTATAAGATTCGGATAATCCGAATCTTATAGATTCGTCAGATAAGTCAGAGAAAATCTTTTTAATTTTTTTAATATAGTAGCTCAAGTCAAAAAAACGGCCCGTTAACGTTCTCAGAAAGACAAAAAAACGGTCAGTAAATGGTAGGAAAACATATACAAAACGATCAATTTAAGACCCTAAAACGGGACGAGTTTTAGGTTCTGAAGACGGTCCGTTTACGGCACGTTAACTTACCGTTAACGACCGGTTTATTGGCCGATAAAGGTACCGCTTTCTTGGACCTGGGTAGTGCTAATTATAATTTCTATTCCAAAGTTTGTTGAGCCATCTGTTAGATGTTTCACAGATTGTTATATACTATTAAATTTTACTGATGCAGATATTCCAGTAGATCAATGTACTAAAAATAATGTCTCTGACAGCTGCTTGATTACATTAATTGCTAACCAACCGAAAGATGATGAGTTTGCTACATTTCAAGCTGTTGATGCAGATACGATGCCATTATTTTTTACGGATGGAAAACCGTATGAAGTATTGAGAACAATGATATGGTTTCGAAAAAAACAAACAAAACGAACATTTTCTTATATGTGTTCGAAAGAAGCTTTCTGCGGTGTTCAAAAAGCACAAGATGTGTTTGATGAACTAAAAGAATTTTATATTGATTCAGTATGGAATAATCTAGGAGGTTATTTATTAACGAAATCCTGTAAGCAGCAAAGAAAGGAAAGAAGAATGATTTAGCAGTGACCTCAATCTTGTCATTGATGGACATTTTATAACTAATTATTTATACGATAGTACAACAGATTCAACAACAACAGCAATCGATTTAACATGTATGAATGAACAGAATCAACCTGTTTTATGTACAAATGGAGTTTGTCAGACATTTACCGGTGAAAC